AAAGCATCAGTCAGCATGGTGGAAGGATCAGTCAGCTTTAGGAGGACGTTAGGAGAACATTCTGGAAGTTTCCTCAGAATTTAGTATATATAGAGCGAAGGGAATGCTGTAGGATTCCCCATCGCAAACACCTGTTTGTTATCTAGTGCTATTCAATCCACTCTCATCTCTTACCTCTCAAAGAACAAGTCATAGTCACCAGTGAGTACCCCTGGTTGGCACCCTCAGCACAGTCGTGCATACCAGAGTCTAGCAAGGAGCTGACTCTTTACAACAAGTCAATTCCCATGCCCTGCTGGAAAATCATCAAGCCATGTGGGATACCCATGGGTTTACTTGGCTCACAGCAATGTTAAACACCCTCTCTTTCCAGTGCCACTTTGCCCTCTAAGACAAACCACTCACTCTTATGGACATTATGAAGACAGGTATACCACAAGCAGAGCTGCAGTACTCTCTGTATCTCATACTACAACAGGTAATAGTGAGATACTCAACAAAGCCACACATGCCACTGCAGGTATATAATTCATAGGTCTTCAGAGCATTATTGGAACTCAGCAGTCAATTGTGGATGACAATGCTCTTACTGTTGCACAAATTTTTAATAAATATATACTTAGCAGCACTGGCCTGCCAGATTGTACAAATGCTGCTTAGGTGTTGCATAGTGTGGTGAGAGAGCTATAAAGAAAAATGATACCCTTGGATAGATGGGCTTGCTTTGTGAATTATGGAAGAACCCTTGACAATACTGATGGAGGATAGAGGACAAGTTTGGACCATTTGACCCTGCCAAAGGCAGAGGACACAGGGAAATTCAGACCACTTGGAGGCAAAAATTGACTGAATCCTGGGTGCATTTTTGGACCATAATCTTTGGTTGTTCAGTGATGCTGGGTACTGGACTGGACCAACTTCTCATGTCAACAGGTTCAACTTTAAGTACCCATTGATGATCAAAGCCACTTGCCTCTTTGGATTTGAAATGTAAGAAGATTAGGGAAAGTTGTAACTAAAGTTGTTGGATGTTGCTGCCATTGTATATAAACTGTATACTATGCCAATGCCCCCCAAATCCAAGTCATTCATAGCCAAGCCCATCTCATTTATTTGCACTTCTGATATCTCACAATATTCTCTCTCAGTTTCCTCAGTCTAGTCAAGATGGAAAGTGGAGGTTGTTGAGCCACCAGAGCCGAAGAATTGCCTATCTGAGGTGTATGACTCACTAGTGGGCAACTTGGCCAAGATAGTAGTTGTGTGGCCCTGTTGAAGAAGAGGCATAGGAAAGACGGTCTTGGGGCTAATGATGGAGAGTCAGAAGACTGAATATGCCGTGTATGTTATTCCTGCACTTGTATTTGAACGTCGCCAGCGCGCTGGAGGCGCGGGAAATTTTTTGGAGGCTGGACCCTATTTTCGGACCATCAGACCCGACAAAAGCACCGGACCATTTCCCCCAAATCCCCTCACCATCGGCATATATCCTCCATTAGTATTATCAAGGGTCCTATTATGGGGCTTAAGACTTCCTTTGCCAATTGATATTTGATATCTTCCCGAGTTGGGTCCGTTGTGGGAACTGTGTCATGGATGTTAGCATGTTGTCCTTGCAGTTGTAATCGCGAGCCCGTTACAACTATGCGGGATGAGTGAACGCGATATTTTAATATTTGTTTCATGATACTTCGGAAAGTCTCAACCATTAGAAAAATAGGATTTAACTAATTATTGCATTCGCCGAATTGGCCTAGTGGTAGGGCATAGCTTTCCTATAGACTCAGATCTTAGGCTGGGGTCGTGGGTTCGAACCCCACATTCGGTTCTCCTTTTGTTACTCGAACAGATGAAGAGCCCTCAAAGGAGTACTCCTTCCACATCACCGATCGCTTTGATACTCGACGCATATGGCACTACTTCCCACCTGTGAAGCAACTGGCAATGGCTGTTGGGTTCTCGGAAAATAGGTGTTAGCGACGGCTCAGCCGCAGCAGTAGATCATGAACCAGAAGATATAAAACAAGCGCAAGCGAGATTGGTGTTTTACAGCAACGACTTCGAGTTCGGTGTAGAACTCCTCGATGCAAATACTGTCCAGCACAAGAAGTAAAGAATGCATCATATTCATACGGACCAAGCCGCAAGACCATAAAACACCACTCCTTACTACATGAAGGGCAGCATAAAAGAAAGAAAGAAAGAAAAAACCGTTCAACGGGTCCAAACCAAGAGAAAAAAGGCGGATCGAGGAACGCGTCACTAGGACCATCTCCTCCCATCTCACTGCAAAAAAATCAAGATCCTTCAAGTCTCCTCTTCTTGTTCGCGTTCGCCACATGTCGCTTCGCGTAGGTTGATCGTTTCTTCACTCGGCAGGACTTTCCATTGCCACTGCTACCAGTCGACGCTTTGAGGGGCGCCCCTGATGCAGTATTGTTGCTTGTAGGATCAGCCGCCGCAGCAGAGGTTGTCGAGGTCGCCGCGGTCGTAGGAACAGCAGAATCAGAGGACGTTCCCGAAGCAGCAGCGTCGGCAGGGGCAGCCGAGGTAGCCGGAGCGGTGACGTTGGCACTACCCAGGTTCCTCGCGTTCGTGTTGGTGTAGCTCTGCAACTTGGCGACTGGGGGCCCCGCAATCGGGTACGAGGAAGCGGGGTTCGTCCAAATGTCAATCTGAGTGCTGAGGTTGTCGCTATAGATTCCTGGAATGGCGACCAGCTCGTCGGAGGAAGGTGACGATGTGCCAGAGCCGCTGACAACAAGCTGTGCGCAGGACGGGTAGAATTGCGGCGCGTGTGCAGCGTGAAGTGCCAGAATCTCATGTCGGATGACTAAACAGGACATGCGTGAGTCGCCTGGTAAATCGTTTTAAGCGGGGTTAGTTAAGAACTTACGATAGTTGCCAGGGGTAAGTCCTGCAGGTATCGTTACAGTCCATGTGGCGCCGTCTAAGACAGCAAGGACGCGTAAGCAATCGAAAAAGGTCTTTTGGGAGTATCGAAATGCGCTCACGCTGTCCGAGAAGGAGCGAAGCCCAAACTCCGGTGTAGGTGTTCCCCGAAACCAAACCCAACTCGTCGATCTTGAACCACACATTACCTGTTCCATCAAAGTCTGTGCAGTTGCCTCCACAGTTGGCCATGTATGTGGTCACAGGGCCCAAATGATCTGCCGGCCACTAGTCACAGAAACAAAACGACGCGTCGATGAGCAAAGTACCTAGGGATACCTCATTCAGATGCTATGACTCACAGTATTCCAGGTAAAAGACATATCCGAGCCGGCATCGACAGCTGCGGTATGGGTGGTTCGCCACTGGGCGTCCTCAGCACCGACGTTGCACATAAGGTCTTTGCTAGTCCAATCGAGCACCGGACCATCATCCGGGACGTGACGAGTGATCTTGGTGTTGACCAGGGGAGAGGCGTAATTATCCGTGAAAGGAAGGAATCCGTCATACTTCTGGCCGCCAATGCTCATGCCCTGAACATAACCATGGGCGGATACAGTGGTGACAACGGAACAGATGGCAAGGACGGTTGCGGTAAACGATTTCATACTGATAGAGCTTCTCAAAAGTTATCAGGCGAGTGTAATGGGAGCTGAAAAAGAGGTAAAAATCATGGCTCTCAGTCCAGATTGCGAGCGGCGGATGTTTCGCCCGACTCACTTTAGAAGGCGGCGGATAGGCTTCTCGGAAGGGACAAAAGAACGACTTGGACGAAGGACTGGCCTTGAAAGGATAAGGAAGGAGAGCAAGAGGGCAGCGAGGGGAAGGGGGAGGAGGAAGGGGATAGAGAGCGAGAAAGGAAAGGAAAGGCGGGGTTATAACTTCGACCAAGACCATCAGAGCCGTTCAGGGGCCAGCGCGTTTCATTTGACTTGACCTCACTACATGGCATTTGATTTGTTTCATACAATGGCAACTCTTGACTCCGCCTTGAATTGAAAGGCGAACTGTGCCGACTACAGCTCCTCGTAACTATCGCGTCCAGTAACGTCGTCATTAATGGATATTAGCTGCACTATCACCGAAACATATACGTAGAGCTCATCTTTGTTGACGCGGCGCCTGCTTGAACTTTACGGGGCTATGATCCAAGGTGTGTCTGGCTCGAATTCAAGCGGTCTAAGCTGTAAAAGGGCACCTTGGGTGTAACAGGCATCCCGTTTCTGTACCAGTCTTTCCAACGCCTCACCCTTCGACTATGAAATACAAATTGGCCGGAGCAGGAGATCAAAGGCGCTGACCATCGCAATGCACGACCGAACAAGGTAGTTCCGGTATGCGTCAAGCCAAGAGTGTTCTGGCAGTCAGTGGCACAAAGGCCTTTGATGAGTTATGTCATATCCCTCCCCTTTGTGTTCAGTTACTATGCACACAGCTACGCGCATTTCGTTCGACCGGTATTTTCATTTCAGACTGTCAATAAGCAGCCTTTGACATGTTAAAAGGTTGATGATAACAACATATCAACCTGCCCTTATCTTTTCCTTACTTCGGTTGCGGCGCTTTGTGATTCTGTTGATGCCGCTTCCACAAGGCACGACATCCAGATGTCTCCGCTCCATCGATCTTGACGCCCCGTGCTGTTCACACTCTAAAACCCTTTACATAGAGTTCCAGCAAGACATGGACGGCACCGGGGGTAGCTGGGATGCCTGCCCACTAGACCCAAGAAGAACCTACACATTACTTTCATTGGTGGGTCCTCTTTTGAACTAGGAGCCATGGGCCGCTTCTATCGAATTGGGAGGTATCGTTGCAGCTACCTGTGCACAGCGTAAGTGAGTCCGTCGTGTGCGACATCGGGGGATTACGGCGTGGTTCACGCATGAACTGATCCGGGAGCAATTCGCTCCTTCTCCAGGTTCCTGGGCGAGCGCGATCGTTCACCACTCTTTATACTACGTGGTTGGACCACCCCACTCCGACCGCAGCGCTGCCTACGCTTACGGCCTCTTACTGTGGAAGATCGCTTTATTTATTGATCTAATGCAAATACAACAATATTAGGAAGACTTATTTGGTGTGAGATATGCCGATTTCGTCACATTATCTCAGACCTTCTGCCTAATCGCCTACGATTTGACCGCGCTAGTCGCATTGGATCTTACGGCCATAATGCCCCACGTGAGCCATTCCCTGCGCCATTTCTGAGTCTATTTCAGGGTGCCGAGTTCAACTGTACTTGCATACGTTATCCGCTCAGCTGGACGAGGCCTTGCAACTTCACCGTATGACGCGAATTGGCACGAGCCATTCCTTGCCGAGTGAATTATCAGGTTTATAGGACTCGTCGAGGTCCAATACTGGCTTTTCCATTGAACGCAAGTAACCCGCACTCACCACCCCAGAGTCTATTCTTCAATACGTCTACCCACTTAAGGAAAGGATCTAGGCCTCCGCCTCTCTAAGCAATGCGGCAGCGAGGATATCCTGGACCTAAACCGCGCAGCCGTCGTGGCGAGTGTCAGAAGCGACCTTTAGGGCCAAAGGCACGAAACAGTTGACGAAACAAACCACCAGGACCGCGGTGACATTTCTTGGTGGCCAACGACACCGGCTATGGGTCAGGTAGGGGAACCGCTCAGAGACGTCAGAGAGTGATGGACTCTCGTAAGGCGGGCTAAAGTCCTTGCTGTCTAAGCTCAATGAAACAAGAGATGGGTAACCGGTGGAGGCTGGCATCTATAATTAGTAAAGAGAGGGGGAGAGTGTTTTATTGAATAAGTGCTTATATCTAAGCGCTGGTTGAGCTTAGTGTCATTATCCTCTATTGGCGTTTACATTATAGATGTCGTGGCTAAGGTTCTCGTGGTCTTGTTGTCACCGTTATGGCCACCCTAGACAACAGAAACAACGCGCTGAATTGAGCGATAGCGCCACAAATGGCAACTGGTGAAAGTTGTTGAATGTGGAAGCTATGTTAGGACCGGCCTCCGACGCGGCAGACGTGAATTAGCCCGTCGTTCTTCTGTGCAAGGGTAGGTATTAATTGACCCACAGCAGGCGCTGAGGGTCGCTTTAAGCATGTTCATGGGCAATCCAAGTACTCAATCCAAGAGTGAAATATCTTTCGGCACATCTTCCACCAAGAGATATAGGCACCACAAACAGCAATACACATTGTCGGTAGCAGCTGGCAAGCGTTCTAGTGACCACGAATCGATCTTCAAGTACAGTTGGTGGACGCTGCTATCTGTGCCGATGGTCTGGATTCCACATGAATAATCAAGCGTCGAGTGCCAAATGTAAATCAGCGCTCGTTGATGATATTTCGAGTCTGCATTGCGCGCTCCATCGCATGGCAAATTGTACAAGTCGGTGAACGTTCCGAACGGCCAATTGGCTACGGGGCGTGTTCGATCAATCGCAGGGTTTGACACGGTTTCGGAGCTTACCGGGCCGACCTACCAATCTTGTTTTAGTCCAGGTCGGAAAACTTAGCACCTCCTTCATGGAGCAGCAGGACCGATAGTGCGGTTTTCTAAACACCGCCATGTTTTGGGACTTCAACGCACGTCTCACTTTAACCGCTCGGCCAATTGCACCATTGGGATGCCGCTAAAATCACAACCCTGCCTTCTGTTTCTCACCGATCACCTGGTCCAAATGAATCTATGGCCCACAGCAACACTACAAAATGCTTGCCACCACTCAACATCTCCAAACTACAACAGCTGACATAGCGTAGCTTATACGGAGAGTCGACTCTCTAACCGTGTCGATGTTAGGAGATTCAAAATTCAAAACAAGAAGTCGTTATCATGTATAATAATAGTATCTCGTTGCTGGCACTCAAACCTACCAGAGACGCCGGTT